AAAAAAAAAGGAAAAAAAAAAAAAAAAAAAAAGAATTAAATCTATCGTAATCAAAAGAAGAAGAGAAAAAAAAAATAAATAGATAAAAGTTTGGAAAATAAATTTGAAACCAATGTGGAATCCGTCCCCTCCCCCGTGTTGCCGCAGTTTGATGTATTGGCGGCGGCGGCGGCGGTGGCGACGACAACAACAACAAAATTTGTTGTTGCCGTTCAAAACAGCTCCAATTTTTTTTTTTCGACAGCACCTCATCATCATTTTCATCATCATTTCCCCATTATCCAACGAAAACAAAAATTGAAAAGGAAAAAATTTTGACAAATAAAAGTAGAAGACAAATAAAATAAATTAAAAAATATAATTTTTTTTTTTTTTTGCCCCTTTTTATACTCACTCAAATCCCCATCACCGTCATCGTAAACCAATGATCGCTATCTATCTTTCTTTTTTTTCTTTCCAATTGGGAGGTGTGGGAGGGGGTGGAAATGTGGTGGTGGAAGAAAGATGTTGGAAAAAAAACAACATATTTTTAGTCATAAAGAAAAAAACTTACTTAAAATTATCAAATGTTGAATAAACAAACGTTGCTTTTTGGTTGTCGTTTTAATCGACCAATACATCCAGAAAAAAAAAAACCCACACATTCCGTAACAGCATCAAAAATCTACTTCATCTATAGATGGTGCAGATATGTACGAAGAATTCTGGTGAATTCGTCTGCTCTTCCCACTTCATCATTTACTGTTTCCTTTTTTTACAGGAAATTCTGATGGATTTGTCTGCTCTTCCCCCCCTTCATCATTTACTGTTTCCTTTTCTTAGACAAATTTTTTAAGCTAAAAATTAAAATTCAATCCTTTCCACCGATCACTGATTATATCATTCAATGAAGTAACTATAAAAAGAAAACAAAACAAAAAAATAATGATAATGAAAACAAAAATTGATGAAACAGACGAATGAGGAGAAAAAAAATTGTATTTACTTGATAAATTGTTCTTTTCTCCGCAGCAGCAGCAGCAGCAGTTTTAATAAGTTTGATGCAAATTTATTTCAGATATAAAAAAACCCAAAGCAAACCCAAATTTTAAATTCGTTAGCTAATGTGAACTTTTAATATATAACAATAGACTGCAATTAAGTCGACCAATAAATTAACAAAAAAAAAAAACAAAAAAGAATCAAAAAAAAAGTGAAAATAAAAATTATTCTCTTTTTTTGATCATTAATTTTTGCTCAATTTTTTGATGCCTTATCACAGATTAAACACTCAAAAAATATACCCAACTTCTTAACAATTTTTTTTTTTTTTTAGATACCAAAACAGTTTCTTTCCCTTATATTCAACAGTTTAGCATAACGAATAAATACAAAAGAATAAAAAAAACACATATATATACATATTTATATTTAAACTTAAAAAAAAACAGAGACGAAATTATCAGTATGAAAATTTGTTGCTGTACATCTGAGGCCATTTAACAAAAAAATTCTTTTTATTCGATCACTTAGTATATAACCAAGAAAAAAAAAATTCATTTACTTCTTTATTACTGTCAAAGGCTTGTTAAGTAAACCAAAAAAAAAAAGACAAAACTACAGTTAAGAAGCAAATTATAGTTAGCAGAAAGATACCTCCTCAACTGCTTTCCTAGGAACTCATAACAAATCCAAAAAAGCATCAAATCTTCTCCACTATTTTTCTATTCTACATTCTGTTCTATTCTGTTTTCCAACCACAACAGTCAGATTAACAAAACAACTTGAGATATCGCATACAACTTGTTGATCAATTCTGTTCATTGTTCATTCATAACCTGTAAAATAAACATCTTTAATTTTATCCTCTACTTTCAGGAATCCATTTTTTGTTCAGCAGTAATTCAGCCTAAACGACTACTAAAAAGAGCGATCAGTATATGAATATGCAAATATCAATATACATATGTCTGTGCTTCTTTGATGGTACAGATTTGTAACACAGCTAAACATTTGTACCACAATTGTTGCAGCAGTATCAGACCAAACTTTGACTGTTCAATGATGTCAAGAAATTTTTCAGTATGAGTAAACGAAAAAAAAAAAACATTTGTTATTCAAAAAACATACTTTAACCAATTTATGCAAGAATTTTGCTTCAATTTCATCAGCTTTTAACCTCAGTTCTTTTCTGCAATAAATTGATTAAAAAAACAGAAAATTCAGAAATTTAAAGGATGAAATTTCAATAATTTTACTGCAAAGAGCACCTGTTTAGTATGTAACCTCTCACTACATTCCATTTCAACAAATAAAAACCTAATTGAGAAAAAAACAGCTGAAAACAAATTTTTTTCTTTCTTTTTTTCAAATTAAAAAACGTCATAGTAAAGAAATTGCTATTTCTTGTTAACCACCTTACTTTTCTTGCCCTTTTTCCACCCTCCATCATTATCGTCGTCATCAATGCACTGCTTTTCCAAAAAGAACATCATTTCCTGACGCAGCCCCGCATACTCCTCCAAACTTCCTGACAACTTTGAATCCGTCTCACGCATGTACTTTTGAACTTACCTATTCAAACATTGCAGCCCACACTGCTACAAGTCTACCTATATTAAGAATAAACTACAATAGTCTCTGCTTCATCACTTTTTTCCCGGCTGGCCGGTGCACTTACAGAAAACACCTGCTTCAATAATCGTCACCATCATCTAATAAAAGAAAGCATGTGCAAGAAAAATTTTAAT